GGGTAAGGGAGGTGGTGGTGTGTAGAGGTAGTGGGGGGAGGTGGTGGTGTAAGGGGAGTGGGGGGAGGTGGTGGTGTGGGGAAGGTGAGGGGGTGGTGGGTGGAGGGGTGGTGGGGGGGAGGGTGGTGGGGTGTGGGGTGGAGTGGGGGGGGTGGTGTGAGGCAGGTGGGTGGTGTAGAGTAGTGGGTGGGGTGGTGGTGTAAGGATGGTGGGGGGAGGTGGTGGTGTGAGGCAGGTAGGGAGGGGGTGGTGTAAGTGGTGGGGGAGTGGTGGTGTAGTGAGTAAGGAGGTGGTGGTGTAAGTAGGTAAGGGGTGGTGGTGTTGGAAGTGGAGTGGAAGGTGGTGTAAGGTGGTGTCAGGTAAATGGTGATATCTTGTCATCTAGCCTCTGTAAACCGTATTTATTCCGTTCCTTATATCCAGCGTCTTGTCTGGTGTCCTCTGACGTGTTTGTGTCACGCAAGAACTGATATCTGTGAAGCACTGCGTCACTGGAAATGCTCGATGTGTGTGACGCAACATTGAGTAATTTAACATCCGGGTTAGGGTTAAGGCATTGTCTACCTCACCTGTTATATTGTCTACCACACCTGTATTGTCTACCACAGTCTACCATCTACACTACTCTGCCATCTACCACAATACAGTAGTTTATAGTACAGTAGTTGGGTCATTACAGTAAAACCTGAAGTGTATTTATAAAACTTTTATTAATCGATATAATAAAGTTTATACTCTTATTTAAGGTAATAATATATAATAATAGTAAGTAATAGAAGGTAATAGAAGTAACTAAACGCCTTAAATTACCCAAATACAAGAATAATTAAGGTGTTTTATTATTTATACCAACAGATGGCTGAGTAGTAGTCCAATGGCTTGATATGAAATTCGTCTTTGGGAAATATAATTAAAATCTAACACTAAAACACTAAATACCTGGATTATATTAATGTTCTAGTTATTAATGTTATAATTGGTGTTATTACTAGGTTATTGTTCATTTATATTATTTGAATAACCTAAAAAAATAAACTTGAATCGATAACCTGAAAAAATAATGTCTTTTTATTTAATTATTTGTTTTATTTTAATTCGGTGTTAAATAAAACGATAGTTATTTGTTTATTTTATGAGGTATTGTTTATTTGAACTATAAACTGTGAGGGTAAATTATTTATATCTGAAGACAATAATAAATGGATTTGGCTTACGTGAACAGGCAAGACGCTCTGCTGTTGCCTGATCCCTGAATTATGACCTCACTATAGCCTTATACCTGACACTTATACCTGACACTTATACCTGACACTTATACCTGACACTTATACCTGACACTTATACCTGACACTTATACCTGACACTTATATCTGACACTTATACCTGACACTTACACCTTACACCCTCACACTTACACCTTACACCCTCACACTTACACCTTACACCCTCACACTTACACCTTACACCCTCACACTTACACCTTACACCCTCACACTTACACCTTACACCCTCACACTTACACCTTACACCCTCACACTTACACCTTACACCCTCACACTTACCTTACACCCTCACACTTATACCTTACACCCTCACACTTACACCTTACACCTCACACTTACACCTTACACCCTCACACTTACACCTTACACCCTCACACTTACACCTTACACCCTCACACTTACACCTTACACCCTCACACTTACACCTTACACCCTCACACTTACACCTTACACCCTCACACTTACACCTTACACCCTCACACTTACACCTTACACCCTCACTCTTACACCTTACACCCTCACACTTACACCTTACACCCTCACACTTACACCTTACACCCTCACACTTATACCTGACACTTGTACTTACATCATCGGACAAATCTTGTAAATATAAACAGTAATTTATTTCCGGTTTTACACCAGTTGTCACAGAAGAAGAGAGGATCATATAACATTGGTTGCCAACAGCGTGAAGATGACTGCACCAGCTGTAAATAAAGCCAACAGCAGGACTTTACACGCCATGTTAAGGTGAGCGCCTCTCTCTGGTGGTGACCTGAGGCTCTCTTGGCTGGCGTCCTGTTCACTTCTGCTGGAGACGAGAGAGTAGAGAGTGTGCTGGGTCCTCTTCTGCTGCAGGCAGTTCACCATCATGTTAACCATGACGATGATGAAGCACAGGCTGATCAATGAGGCGTACCACATGTCTAACAGCCTGTAGTAGGGCGTACTGACGTAGAAACCTGAGATCTGGGAGAAGAGAGCTGCCAGCACTAACAGCGCTCCTAAGGACACCATGATCCTGTCGGTGAAGGACCCGAGGGGGAAGAACAGGCTGGAGTAACAGATGATCACCACAAGAACACTAGGAGCCAAGGTGTTCAGTATATGGTATTCAAACTCACTCCTGAGGTGCACGGTGAGGGTGCCACAAGAACTCTCATTCTCAAAGGTTATACCCAGCAACCGGTACCCTAGGAGCCGCCTCGTCTTACTCACGTAGTTAACTCTTCCTGTAGGATGTTGTGCCTGTAGTCTATCCTCCATATTGAAGGATTTCATGTAGAAGGATACGTTACATTCATAATTTCCGTAAGGGTAGAGGTAAGGCTCACCATAACACGGCGATTTGAGACGTAACTGTTGGTTCATATAGATGAGTGTGTCCGCCCCGTGCCTCACTCTACCTGATAGGAAGAAACAGAATAATAACCTTGTTAGTGTGTGTTAGTGTGTGTGTGTGTGTGTGTCAGTCAAAACTCGTCCAGGAAAGCTTTGAGTGAATTCAGCTTGAGGAGGAGGAGGATATTAGGCTCGTATCTTATCAGTATTATCAATAGTCTTCAATATTTTCTTTAATGGGAAGATTATGTTCCAACCATTAACAATTACTTTACAAACTACAGATTATGTGAGGTGTTACTAAGGGATACTCACCCATAAGAGGGTCGTTTAGGTCGTATCTGGTGTTGAGGTCGTTCACGTAACAGCCTCTTTGATCCACCCTCAAGTTGATCTCTCCACCTGTGCCGTCACCTGCCCGCCCACCTACTTCAGGGTACCAGATTCTCGAGCAAGGGAACACCGTAAGTCTCGGGCCGTCCCATATACGAAGTCTTGGGTCGTGCCAGCAGAGAGTAATGGTCATGTCAACAACAGCTGTCTCAGGCGTAGTGGAGATTTCTTGGATGTTGTTCACGGTGAACATATAAGATACTTGTATAGGCTCGTTGTTGCTATTGGTTGGTGGTGTGAGAGTGTCGTAATCATGGGGGCGCTCCACTAACCTCTCTTGACACCTCTCTTCGTCACTGCCGTCTGGGAAGTCGTGGATACTGTTACACCGTCGTGATCTTGGGAGACAGTGGCCACTATGGGAGGAGAACTGGGCCATAGTGCAGGAGGTGAGGGTGAGGGTGGTGGTGGTATGGCCACAGTACCAGAGGTGTCGTCCTACTGGCCACGGGTCAGAGGTCAGCCGCCAGGTGTGACGGTGGACACGGGAACTTAACACCCACCAACCATCTGTTAGGGTGATCTGGGAAGTGTCCACACCCTGGAAGTAACTACTGCCGTCAGACAGTGTCCTCAAGAAGAAGTATCGGTCAAACTGCGGCACGTCACCGTAAAGAGTGTACCTCAGCCACACAGGAGCCCCACACACACTACACTCCAGGTCGTCAAGACAAGACCGTGAACCAATGGTCCCGTTCACCAGTAAGGTGGGGCACCGAGCTGCTAATGGTCCGGGGTCCTGGTGGTCGTGGCCCAGCCAGGAGACGTGGAGGTCGTCTGTGATGCACGTCTTATCTGCCACCGTCACCCGGCCATAGGTCGCTTCTTGACGGGTGGCGACGTGTCCCCCGAGTGACTGACAGGTGTCCCGTGTCTTGGTGTAGCCACCAGGCACCTTCACCCAGTGGGTGTGGCTACCCCCTGAGCAGAACTCCTCTTGGTTGTAGTCAACCCTCAAGAGGTGTCCAACACCCCGCCAGGTGTGGCCCAGGATGGAGGAGGCCACACTATCAGAGACCAGAGTGTCGCAGGTGGCCAGGTTAGGGAGTTTGAGGCGAGGCCACTCCGCCACCACCAACACGGCGGCCACATCACCGACGAAGGTGGGAGTCTTGGTGTCCCTGAGAGGCGCCCCTAGACACAGCTTGTAGCCCCTCCTGGTGTAGTCAACACTGTGCACGGTTTTGACATTCAGAAATTCTCCACGTAGGGCGGCCCACACCTGTAATGTGTAGACAAGGGTAAGGTCACACATACACACACACACACACACACACACACACACACACACACACACACACACACACATGGGTGAAGGCACACAGCCAGACTGAGAGCCTCACCTGGGTGTACCCGGAGTGGTAGCCGACACACACAGGGTTCCAGGCGTCAGGGAGGAGTCTGGCGTTGAACACGAACTGGTTGTGTCGTACAGTCAACCTCAACTCGTACTTGTATATCTCTGTAAGGTGAGTAGGTGTTAACAGCTCATTAACGTAAACAATCAGTGGTTCACCTCAACATTATTCTACCCCCTAACCTAATCTACCCTAACCCAACCTAACCTAACCTAACCAAACCTAACCAAACCTAACCTAACCTAACCTACCCTAACCCAACCTAACCTAACCTAACCAAACCTAACCTCACCAACGTCTCCAGGTAACTATAGGTGTGTAATCAACAGGTAAAATAAACTAGGAGAACTAATCATCAGGTGACCTCATTTATTTATTACATAAAGTGTTTTGTAAAAATCTTATGATTAGTAGGAATTTGTGTACAGGTATTGAATATTTAATTACAGGTGCATGTACAGTCCCCTTCACTAGTGTGTTTACAGGGGCTCGTCATATAGCCTAGGTACAGTCCCCTTCACTAGTGTGTTTACAGGGGCTCGTCATATAGCCTAGGTACAGTCCCCTTCACTGGTGTGTTTACAGGGGCTCGTCATATAGCCTAGGTACAGTCCCCTTCACTAGTGTGTTTACAGGGGCTCGTCATATAGCCTAGGTACAGTCCCGTTCACTAGTGTGTTTACAGGGGCTCGTCATATATCCTAGGTACAGTCCCCTTCACTAGTGTGTTTACAGGGGCTCGTCATATAGCCTAGGTACAGTCCCCTTCACCAGCGCGTTTACAGGGGATCGTCATATAGCCTAGGTACAGTCCCCTTCACTAGTGTGTTTACAGGGGCTCGTCATAGCTCAGGCACAGTCCCTCTACTAGTGTGTTTACAGGGGCTCGTCGCATAGCCTAAGTACAGTCCTTCACTAGTGTGTTTACAGGGGCTCGTCATATAGCCTAGTACAGTCCCTTCACTAGTGTGTTTAGAGGCTCGTCATATAGCCTAGGTGCAGTCCCTTCACTAGTGTGTTTACAGGGGCTCGTCATATAGCCTAGTGCAGTCCTTCACTGGTGTTTACAGGGGCTCGTCATATAGCCTAGGTACAGTCCCCTTCACTAGTGTGTGTTTACAGGGGCTCGTCATATAGCTAGGTACAGTCCCCTTCACTAGTGTGTTTACAGGGCTCGTCATATAGCCTAGGTACAGTCCTTCACTAGTGTGTTTACAGGGGCTCGTCATATAGCCTAGGTACAGTCCCTTCACTAGTATGTTTTGGGGGCTCGTCATATAGCCTAGGTACAGTCCCTTCACTAGTGTGTTTACAGGGCTCGTCATATAGCCTAGGTACAGTCCTTCACTAGTGTGTTTTACAGGGCTCGTCATATAGCCTAGGTACAGTCCCTTCACTAGTGTGTGTTTGAGGGGCTCGTCTTAGCCTAGGTTAAGTTAGGTTTGTCCCTGTAAACGCGCCAGTGAAGGACTGTACACACGTAAATAAACAGTGACCCAGGTAACTAATTAATATCTCTCACCTGTCATCATAAACATGTTGTTTGTAGTGTAGAAAAAGACGGTACCAGAAGCCTCCTCCACCAAGGGTCGTATCAGGGCACACATGGTCAGGTCAGTAAGTACTCCCGTGAAGCTTGTGAGGACTGGCAGTGAGGCACACAGGTGGGCGTCCCAGCTAGTCAATAACACACCTGGTACACGATCCTCACTACTGGTCTGTGTTCCACCTCCTGCTTCTGTTCCACCCTCTCCTGCTTCTGTTCCACCCTCTCCTGCTTCTGTTCCACCCTCTCCTGCTTCTGTTCCACCTCCTCCTTCTGTTGCTCCACCCCCCCTGTTGTTCCACCTCCTGCTTCTGTTCCCCTCCTGATTCTGTTCCACCTCCTCTGTTGTTCCACCCCCCTCCTGTTGTTCCACCCCCCTCCTGTTGTTCCATCCCCTCCTGTTGTTCCACCTCCTGTTGCTCCACCCCTCTGTTGTTCCACCCCTCCTGTTGCTCCACCTCCTCCTTCTGTTGTTCCCCTCCTCCTTCTTCTGTTCCACCTCTTCCTGTTGTTCCACCCCCTCCTTCTGTTGTTCCACCTTCTGTGCCTTCTTTTGTTGTTCCACCCCCTCCTTCTGTTGTTGTTCCACCCCTCCTTCTGTTGTTCCACCTCCTGTTGTTCCACCCCCTCCTTTGCTCCACCTCCTCCTTCTGTTGTTCACCTCCTCCTTCTGTTCCTCTTCCTGTTGTTTCCACCTCCTTCTGTTGTTCCACCTTCTGTGCCTTCTTTTGTTGTTCCACCCCTCCTTCTGTTGTTGTTCCACCCCCTCCTTCTGTTGTTCCACCCCCCTGTTGTTCCATCCCCTCTGTTGTTCCACCCCCTCCTGTTGCCACCCCCTCCTGTTGTTCCACCCCCTCTGTTGTTCCACCTCCTGCTTCTGTTCCACCTCCTCCTCCTTCTGTTGCTCCACCTCCTCCTTCTGTTGTTCCACCTCCTCCTTCTTCTGTTCCACCTCTTCCTGTTGTTTCACCCCTCCTTCTGTTGTTCCCACCTGTGCCTTCTGTTGGTGTTCCACCTGTGCCTTCTGTTGGTGTTCACCTGTGCCTTCTGTTGGTGTTCCACCTTCTGTGCCTTCTTTGTTGTTCCACCTCTCCTTCTGTTGTTGTTCCCACCCCTCCTTCTGTTGTTTCCACCTGTGCCTTCTGTTGGTGTTCCCACCTGTGCCTTCTGTTGGTGTTCCACCTGTGTGCCTTCTGTTGGTGTTCCACCCTCCTGTTGTTCCACCTCCTGCTTCTGTTCCACTCTCCTGCTTTTGTTCCCCTCCCCTCCTCCTCCTTCTGCTCCTGTGTTGCCACTACTACTGCTACCATCATCGATACTACCACCACTACCACCACCACTACCAACATTACCACCAAAATCGATACCACCACCACTACCACGACCACCACCACCACCACCACCACCACCACGACCACCACCACCACACCACCACCACCACCACCACCACCACCACCACCACCACCACCACCACCACCACCACCACCACCACCACCACCACCACTACACCACACCACCACCACTACCACCACCTACCACCACTACCACCACTACCACCACCATCACTATCATAACA